TAAATATAATCCTGATACTCTTAAGAATCAAATAAAAATAATCACTAGAGAATTTTTTGGTGATAGTCATATAAGGAGTTCTTACAAAAGATATCACACTATTTGAAAGGGTATTTATATCTTTCTTAGATGACAACTATGGCCAATAATCCCAAGGTATGGCTGTAACATCCTAAAATTTCATTACTTCTAAATTAATTATTAATCATATTAATTTAAATAAATTATAATTAGATAATATATAAAAAGTTAGAAATAAAAACTTACTTAGCAAAATTTACCTGAAAAAGAGCCAATTAAGGGAGAATCAAGTACTGTCAATATCGAGTAAACCTAATTATATATAGAGATTAATTACTAAAATTATTTTAAATGATATTAGACCATCTAAATCAAGGATTATAAAGATTTTATGGATTTGGAAAGAAGAAAAAATAGAAAATAAATAAAATTGTAAAATTTGGACAAAGTGACCAAAATACTCCTAGAAAGGTCTAGAATGTTGGTCCAAATTCCTCAAAAATAGCTCACATATGATGTGAAAAATGGTTCATTTTGTACCAAAAACTTGCAAAATTTGCAACCTACCTAACCTAATTTAATTTGCATGTTGTCTTAGCTTGAAAGAGAAGCCAATTTCATGCAGAGTTTTACTCTCTCCAAGATTCAGTTTCTTTATTTCACGGAGAGAGATAGGAACTTTTACGGTGTTAGGGTTTTCTTAGTCCTAACTTTCTCACGGTGGCACAGCGCTTAAGGTCTCTAGATAAGCTTATCTCTAAGATCTCTCTAGAGAAAGGTGCAATCAGGTGATGGACCAATAAGAACTGGAGAAACATTCAACCGAGGAGATGGATCTAATGGTTCGCAACACGAAGAAAGTCATGATGGACCTTGAATTAGGCCTTGAGACCAGATCGCTTGCAAGCACAAAGATTGCATTTCTAAAATCCCTGCAAATCAGGTGTCTTCTATTCCTAAATCCCCTAGATGTATGTCTTATAAGGATAAAGTCCTAGCTCCTAATAACATAGATCTGATTTTGAATGATGATGAAATCATTAAATCAGTGATGGAGGATCTAAATATTCGTCTGGATAACGAAGAAATTGAACCTATTAAAAGTGATGAAGATAATATGACCCAGAACTTGTGTCCAAAACTCAAGATTCCCTTGGAGGATTATGAATCATGGTGTAATCCATGGAAATTTACGTTGATTGTCAAGCTTCTAGGTAAATCAATAAGCTTTAATTTTCTTGGCCAAAAATTAAAAAATATTTGGGGTAAAAATGGACATCTTAATATTCTAGACTTGAATAATGAGACTATTTTTCTTGTCAAATTTGAGAATCTTGAAGATTATAAACTAGTTGTATTTGAGGGATCATAACTTATTTTAGATCACTATCTACTGATTCAACATTGGAGACCTTTATTTAGACCTAAGGAGTATAGCCCTAGGAAAATAATTGTCTAGCTTAGGATTCTAGATCTCTCTCTTAAATTATACAATGGAAAATTTCTTTGACAGGTTGGAGCCTATTTAGGGACGATGCTTAAAATTGACCCTCATAAATCCCTTCTGTCTAGGGGTAAGTTTGCAATAATTTGCATTGAATTATATTTAAACAAGAAACTTATTCCTTCTTTTAAGGTCCTAGGGTAATAGTTTAGGGTGGAATACGAGGGTCTACATCTAATCTGTTTCTGATGTGGTAAATATGGTCATAGGATGGAGAATTATTTAGATAAGGTGGTGTGTCCTTGTGATAAATCCAATCAAGAATCCAACTCCTATTTGTTGATAATGGTTAATGATGAGGAGCCCCTTACATCAGTAGGCCAGGGTGGACATGATAGTCATAACTCTCAAGAAATTATGAACTTAAATGAATAAGGCAAATTTGGCCTATGGATATTAGCTAAGAAATCTATGAGGAAAAAGTCTAGGACCCCTAGAGCTTTAGGATTAGTTGTCCATAATAGAAAAAGTAGGAAGTATCTCCTAGGTTCTAGATTTGAAGTTTTTGGTAACCCTACTAATGATGGACAAAAATTGCCTCTGACCTACTTTAGTTATTGAGCATAGTTTAGAACATGTTGATTTAATTAATTTAGTCCTAAATTGATATTACATTCAAATGTGACCGAAACAAACTATATATCATTTTTATGTTTAGCTCAAATGATTTAATCAAACTAAATTGCAAATACTCTTCAGCTTTGCCCCACGTTAGAACCACCGTGACATCGAACCATATTTGATAACAAAATGACTACTTAGCAACCTTTACAACAACTACATGCCAAGCACCAGATTGAAGGTGAACTGTTAGCTCGCAATTTTGTTTTTAAAAAATTATGAGAGAAGAGAATGTCAAAACAATTAATGACATTTTATTATGTCTTAACAAAATTAACAAAAAATATATATATAACTAAAAAGTAAGATAGAAAATTAAATTGAGTAAAAAGGAAAAAAAATGAAAAAGATTCAATTGAGATTTTAAATAATTTTAAAGGACAAAATTATTATATATCTTGCCTTTTGAAAAAAATGATTGGATCCCAATCCTTTGTAATTTTAGTGAAAATTGTAATCGATAGTTTAAATTCACTTAAATAAATTTGACAAAAAGTAATTTTTACTTTAATTAAAAAAATTAAAATAAGATAATTTGTATAAGTTAATTTGGTGAAAAGTAATTTTTGTTTAATAAAACAAAATTTACTTAAGATAAAATTATAAAAAATTTAAAATTTTTGTTTAAAAGATTTCAGATCATGTAATAATGAAACTGTTTCTTAACCAATTTTTTAAATTTATCATTTTTATAATTTTATTATTATTCTCAATAATTTAACTCAATTTCAAATGATTACATTTAACATAAATAGCACATTTGATAATACATTTAAAATATTTAATAAAATGACATATATAAAGGTTGATGAACAACAAATATTTCTCAAATTTTCTGTAGTTTAAAAAAGAAGTTAAATTTTAATTTTTTTTTTTATAATTTTAACTTAAACTAATTTTTTAATTCAAACAAAAATTACTTTTTCACCAAATATGTTTAAATGAATTTTTTTATCTTAAATAAAAATTATTTTTTATTAAATTTGTTTAAACAAAAAAATTTTCTTAAATAAATTTAAATTGGGAGCTGCAGCAACTAAAAATCCAAAGGATCCAAATCCAAAAACATAATGTATTTTGTCAAATTTGTAAGAAATATGTCCATATGAAATATCAATGTTATAAGTTTGTGTTTGCTGCAGTATTGTGCGGGTAAACTGCAATGGGTCATATTCTCAGAAAAGTAAAGCATCTCGATGTTCCTTGCAAACAATCATTGTGATTACATCTCTTCATGTCCACATTTAGTTAAATGTAAATGTTATTCATTGTACGTAACATCCGATCTTAATTTAATAGATTTCAATTTGTTATCGATTTAAAGAGTTGATGTTGATATCTAAATGTTTGTAATGTTTCATTTCCTTTGATATTGTATATGTTTATGGCAACTTCTATAAGCAAAACATTTTCTTGGAATGTCTCTTTAGTATTGTTAAAAGCAACTACCGAGGAAGTAGTTTCCTCGTTAGGGCGATTCCAAATGGACATTTAATGTATAATGTAATAAATTTATTATTGAAATTCTACTTTTCGCATCCTCTCAACAAATTTAAAGTTCATGTAGTAAAAAAAAAAAAAAAAGTTAATTCATTGTCAATATTTTAGAAGATACTATGTGTGTAATTAATTTATATTTTAGGTCCTATAAAAGTATTGTTCTTTAAAATTAGTCTTTAACATTTATAAAAGATTATTTTTGACAAGTGATAGCTGGGATAATGTAATAATAACCAAATTCCAAACTCACACACCAATGATATGGAAATCTAATTAATTTTACTATACTTATATTTTCATTAAATACCTTCTATTTAACTATGTTATATATATATTAGTTAACACTTATTGTATTTCTTGTTAATAATTAATCATCCATATTACTAATTTATTCTAAAATAATTTAATTATTTTTGTAATATTAAGTATCTTTATATTTAATCATCATTGAATACATAAATTAATTGGTAAGAGTTGTCCCAATTTAGTCTGTGGTCTTCATGGAGTTTAGAAAAAAAAAATCATAGATTGTCATATAATTAAAAATTATTAATTTATAATAATTATTATAAAATTTATATATAGAATAATTTTATATGATTAATAATGTAAAAAATAATACTTACGGTTTAGACAAAAAAAATTATATATTATTATATAATTAAAAAATTTAATTTTATAATTTAATAATATAAAAAAATTTACATGAATAAATTTTCAATACAGTAATCTTACTCGCCTAAAATTATATTACCTCGGATAAAATATACATATGGTTTTAAAAAGAGAAAGTAACTTAAAATTGAATCTTGATCATTGAATTAATTAATTTTTAATATGTTGCCATAAAGAGTACATAGTAACCGGCAACATGTTATTAGAGACTTTTTCTTTTTACAATATTGTGGAGTGAACTTTCTTATGCGCTGCAACAGAAGAAACATTATTATTACAAACTTTGAAAATATAAAAACCTTATTTACAACTTTTTAAAGAGCATAGGAATCTGCAGAGTAACCTATAATCTTACTGTGCAATCAAAATTATATACATAAATCATTTTTTAATTAGAAATAGAATTTTATTAATCTCAAGTTAAAAATAAACAGTTAATAATAGTAAAATTTATTAAAAAAAGTAATATTTAACAATTTAACATATTGTTTATGAGTGGAATCTCACCAATAAATGTGAAGACGGTAATCAATGCAAATTTTTATTTTATTTTCAAATATTCTCCAATGGCTGTACTTGTACAATCTATAAATTGCCATGGTTTTCTCCATTTTGCATATTGCACTTACATTCTGTGATTTAGTCGAATAACATTTTTAAATAGGTAATAGTTTAGAAGATGGAATTGGTATTTGTTGCCATAGGAATGCTTCTTCTTGCTTCACCTTGCATGTGTGGAAGAATGAAGCTCAATGCAGGTCCTAAATTCAATGTTATTGACTATGGTGCCACCGGGAATGGCCAAATAGATGACTCCCAAGTATGTTCATCAATTTTATTTAACACTCCCATGCACGGATAAAAAACCATTTTTATACAAGAACACGAATAATAAATATAAACGATAAAAAATTTTCATATCAATGTAAATATAAAAACTCTTATACTCAATTTAAATATTTTATTTAATTTACATCTAACGAGTTATAATTTATTACTTTATTAACTGTTAAATATAAATTAAATAAAAAATCAAATTTAGCGTAAATTTTTTTAAACTTATATTAAGATAAGTAGATCTTTCCCTAAATATAAACTATATAATTATTTTTAAATAATTAAAATTGCATCATTTATCATTCCCAATTCTTATTTTTTCACTATAAAAATATGGGTATGCCATCCATCAGCTAGTTCTCTTACTTCTCTAAAATTACCTGAGTCATTATATTATTTTTGCAAATATTTTGGTCATTAAATTAATATATATTTTCTAAGATCTATATAAAATATAATATTATATATGGTTTAATTGATAAAAATGTTGATCATTAGCTTTGCTTCTTTTTTTTTTTTGTGTAGAATCTTAATTTGCAAAATGGAAATAGATTAATTAATGGTACAACATATTGATGGTATAAATTAGTATTTTTTTATAAGTTAGTAATTATATATATATATATATATATATATATATATATATTACATTTGAGTTAAAGATTAACACAACTATATATATATATAGATGAAAGACTATATTTTTAGAAAAATTATAAAAATATGAGGATTTTTTTTTAAAATAGCAATTTTTGACAAAAAATATTTTTAATATTTTTTAAAAATTGATAGTAGTAATTTTGATTTTTTATAATTTAAAAAAAAATCATGAGTGACAATTTTTAAAACTTAGTAACTTTTTGTTGTTTTATCAGTATTTACATAAAAAAGGTCAGATTTTTTAATTTTATATTTTTGTATATATATTTGAAATTTGATATATAAAATTTGAAAGGCTTTTGTGAAAGCATGGGAGGAGGCGTGTGATGCAAGAGATGGGACCCCAACAGTTGTCATCCCCAAAGGGAAAACTTTCATGTTACAGCCTGTGGCATTCCGCGGTCCTTGCAAGCCTTCAATCGTTAACATTCAGGTAATTAAATCCGCTTCTCAAGAGCCATTTCAAAATCTTTATTATTAATTTTTTATTTTTCAACTTATTTCAATTTTTTAATATAATTTATGAATTTATTATGATATTGTTTGTATAAATAAGAGCTTAATTAAATTATATACCATATATTTCCTGCACAATGCAGTAGCACGAGCCACGAGTAATATAAAATGATTATATTATATATTTTATATAATAATAATAATAATAATAATATTAAGTATTAATTTAAACTTAGCCAATTGATAAAATAAAATTAAAAAAAGAAAAAAGCATTAAAAACATAATTACTTTATATTTTATTTTTATTTATATTTAATTTAATTACGTTTTGTATTTCTATAAATATTAAACATTTTGTGATAAATTTTTATAAAAAAATTTAAGATTAATTCTCTGTAAAATTAAAAAATTAAAATTTACTATTTGTTGTCAACTATCTTCTATTAATTAAATGTTAAGTTGGTTAATTAAAAGTTAATATAACACTTCGACCTATTATAACATGTCATTTAATTATATAATATTTTTATTATTTAAAATTAATATTTATAAATAAATTTTTAAATATATTTTTAATATTTGCATAAAGACTCTTTCTCTTTTCTTCTTCGTTGCACACTCTTCCCTCAAGTTCTCCAACTCTATTCCGATACTCACCTTTTTCATTTCTATTTTTGCATCCTCCCTCAACCTTCACTTTTCTTCCAACTCCATTCCAGTACCCTCTCTTTATCTCATCTTTTTTCTTTTCTCTTCCCTTTATACCACCACAACTCCTACTCCTTTCTCAACCCTATCCTCCCCTTCTCCTTTGCACCACCCTAACTCCTACCCCTTTCCTTACCCTATTCTTGCACCCTCTTCCTCCCCTTCCCTAAACCCTTATACCCCTATCTCACTTCCATATACTCAACTCATTTTATATTAAAATTAAAAATTAAGAAATAAATATTGTATGCAAAATTTGTTATAAGTTGATTATACAATATTAATTTTAACTTTAGTATTTTTTTTCATGTTCCATTGCTGTGAGGTTGAGCTACAATATTTATTTACCACGTGGAGTTAAGATTTGTGGATGGAGTAAGGGTGTGGGAAAAGGGAGGGGTAGAGGTGTGAGGAAGGTGGAGGGGATGAGGATAAAGGGAAAAGAAGGGGGAGGAGTGTGCAACAAAGAAGAGAAGGGAAGGAGTAGAGAAAATAGAAAATAATTTTTTTATAAATATTAAAAATGAGTTTAGAGACTTATTTATAAATATTAATTTTAAATAATAAAATATTATATAATTAAATGACATGATATATCACGTAAAAATGTTAGCTAACTCTCTGTTAGTTAACTTAATATTTAATAGAAGAGAGTTGACAGTAAGATTAAATTTTAATTTCTTAATTTATAAGACTAAATATTAACACAAAGTTTTATAAAGACTTACTATAAAATATTTCATATTTATAGAGATAAAAAAATAATAATTATGCCTTTATACTTAATTGTTAAAAATCCTTTTAAAAAACTTAAAATTGATAGAAAGTGTGAAGTTTGCATCCAAGCTACTCAGTGTAAATTGTTCTCTTTTGAACTTTAAATTTCTTTTAATTTTTTTCTTATTGTTCATCTACAAATAAAATATAAAATACAGTAATTATTAAATTATATTATATACATTTTTAAAAGAAAATGAAACTGCATGTATGGAATGAAACTCTGGTTTGTATTTCATCATAAAAAAATTAAAAAACAAAAACTATGAATACATATTAATATCATAGTTTTCTTTTATCTACTTCCTAGCTTAACCATAGTAAAATATAATATTATTTATCTAATCAACATGGTATCACACTTATAATATTTTTAAATAAATGCAAAACGTAATTTAAAGTATATAAACTGGTAGTATATATCCAGAAAATATTGGAGATGCTCATACTGATTTTGATATGTTGATTTAGATAAAATTAGTGATTTAATCCCCTAATTTTATTGTTAGTTTTAAATTTGTTCTTATAAATTTAATTTAATTTAATCTTTGGATGACTTTTTTTTTTTTTTTCATTTGAACTTAATCCCTTCGTTATAAAATCATTGATAAAAGTAAATTTTTGGGTGAGATATAACATTATTAAAGTAAATTCACTAACTTGAGATAAAAATAAAAATTGAAAAAAAAATTTAAAACTAAAAAATATTAAAGGACTAGATCACTTCTTACTTTCTCCTAATTAACGTGAATATTGTAGTATAATTTCGGTTGACTACAATATTGGATTTATTGTTTGGCTTAGCAGCTTAAGGGAACTATCATAGCACCAAACAGCATTGAGGCATGGAAATGGCCAAATGAAAGGGACGCATGGATTCGATTCTTGCACATAAGTGGTCTTGTTATCCATGGAGGGGGACAAATTAATGGCCAAGGTGCTCCATGGTGGAATTGCTATTCCAATAGAACTTGTCACAACAGGCCAAGCGTAAGTTTTAAATATATAATTAAATACTCTCTAAAATGTTATTTTTAATGCATTCTTTAATATTAGTTAAAATTTCTTAAAAACTATAAAAATATAAAAGAAACATTAATTCAAGAATGAAAAAGAAGGAAACTTGTATGATTTTGTTGTTTTTAATAACATTTTACTTAAAAAAAAATGTTGCTAGCAATTTTTTTTCATCTTTTTATTGAATATATTAACAAATTTACATGTATTTAGAATTTTTTTCTCAAAATGATTCTTAATGTTATGCATATATATATATATATCCATGTGATATTACTATTAAATGGATTTTAAAATTTATATAGAAAAAAATCAATTAAAAAAGTTTAAAAGCTATATATAAGTTTAGTTTATATTTCCAAAGGTTAAAAATACACAACTTTAATTAAATCTAAATAAATGAATGAGAACCACAAGTTGTTTCAATTAGTGCTTCGTATTAAAATTTCATAAGAATTACGTATGTAATTGATTGATATAATGTGCAGGCCCTACATTTCCATGACTGTGAAAATCTATTGCTTCGCGGATTGACTCACATGAACAGCCCCAAAAATCATATAAGCTTAAATAAATGCAATGGTTCAGTCATCTCTGATCTTCATATTTTTGCACCAGTTGATAGCCCAAACACCGATGGTATAGATATCTCAGAATCATCCAACATTGTCATTCAGAATTCTATGATTGAAACTGGTAAATTATATGACTCAGTATTATTATTTTCTGGATCGAGTTTTCATTGGTCTTTATTTGTAGGCCTTCCTATTCAAGAGGGGATTGTCCCTTCTAAATATCCATTTTGTTCTTTTAAATTATATGTATTGATCAATTAATTTTTATCTTTACAAGATGATACTTATTTTATTTATTTATTTTTATACAAAAATAACTTTGAAAGATGAAGTAAAAGAAGACTAAAGTAAGTTATTTAAAAAAAATTAAGATTAAAAATTTAAACTCAACTTTAATTTTTAATAAATATTTTTAATACAGCTCAATTATTTCTTTTCATTCTCTTCTTTAATCATTCAAATAATTGGAAGAATTTTTTTTATCATTTCCTTAAAATGGATTAAAAACATGTTGCATTGTTACTGCTTACGCACAAATCGTAATGTTACTATTCCCTTTATCCTATCCCATTATTTTTATCAGATTATCACATAGCTGACCATAAAATTAAAGGTGGAATTGGTTAATGTGATTTACTTTTTTAATTATTTTCTATTAGGTGATGATTGCATTGCCATTAATCACGGGTCCACCTTCATCAGCATAATTGGCATCTTTTGTGGACCTGGCCACGGCATCAGGTCAGTTTCAAGTAAATTTCTCTAGCTGTTTACACACAGAGTTATTTGTTAAATGTATTGAAACTCTTGGATATGTGATGGCAAATCTAGTGTTGGAAGCTTGGGAAAAAATGGAGCTTGTGAAACAGTTGAAGAGATATATGTACGAAATTGCACCTTTAGTGGAACAACAAATGGAGCCAGAATCAAGACATGGATGGTAAGGATTGCTGGAGGTTGTTTTGATTTTCTATAATCCTCTACAATAAAACAAGTTAACATTTACTAATAAACAAAAATCATCAAATATTAAAATAACTTTTATCAGTATAATTTTTTTTAACAAAAGTTAAACTGTTAATATTGAATTATTGATATCATAAGTTTTTATTAAGAGAAGTGCTAAATAGTTCAAAAAAGTTTTGCACGAATTCAAGGAATGCATCGTGTCTCAATATAACTGGTTTAAATAATAAAATAAAAGAAAATTTGATAAAAATCGAAGAGGTGGTGTATTTTATTGTTTCGTCCCTTTTCATGTTTTGTTTTCCGTGTAGCAGTTTTCCTTTATCAATGGTGTGATATATTATACTAACAAATAAAGACTATTAATATATTTGTATTATGTATTATCTGTTAATAAAGAAATTTGTGTTACTCAAAGATTATATTAACAAAGGTTATTCCAACACTTATAATTGTAATTTTTGTTTCTTAATAAATAATGTGTATTTTTTATATTGATCATTGAAGCAAGGGAAACACATTCATGTTTTGTGTTTTTTTAAATCAGGGAGGTGAAGGGTATGCAAGGAAGATCACTTTTGAGGATATTGTACTTGTAGAAGCTAAGAACCCTGTGATTATTGACCAGGAATATGACCCTAGTGATAGCGTACATGCAGTTAGAGTGAGTGATGTTACTTACCACAATGTGAGGGGAACCTCCAATTCTGCACATGCAGTCAAACTGCATTGTGACAAAACCATAGGATGCACCAACATTGTATTGAAGAGGATTAACATAACTTCTGCTTCTGGAGAGGAAACTTATGCTTCATGCAAAAATGCAAACGGGGTATGCTCTTCGTGTATTCCACATGTCCCATGTCTTTCTCGAGAGTGACCAAGTTGTGGTAGTTTGTGACTTTTATATCTCCATATGTGCTTTTTCTTTCTGTATTCAATTGTTGATTGAACTAATGATAACACCAAATGCTGCATATCTTATAATTGTTAGGATCTAGTACCTAAGTGGTCATTGTTTATCAGTTATCTTAGATATATACTTCCCAATATAGGGAGTTATCATTTAGAGTTGGTTTTAGTCCCTAATTTTTCTAAATTCAATATTTTTTATCCCAATGATGATGATGTGGGTAATTAAAAAGTTATTACTTGTCAAATTTTGTTGTTGTGTCACTCCTATGAAAGAGACTAAAAGTGTTGAATTTAGAAAAATATATTGGAGACTAAAACTAAAAAACAGATTTTGAGAAACTAAATCAAAATTTTAACAAAGTTATATAAACTAAAAGAACATTGCTATATATCTGGTATAAATAAAAAGAGTATGAATTTTAACCAAATAATAACTAAAAACCAATGACGAATGCGTGGTTAAATTTATTAGGAGAGAAATTTTGTAGACCAATCATCTTCTCTTGTAAAGTTTTCCTAAAATAATTTGTACTTAAAAAACATTTTTGAAACTAAAAGCATATTTAAGCCTTATATATAACTACATGAATTTTAGTTGAATCATTTTAGGCAATATATAATGGCCCTCCAAAAATTTTACTCAAGATCCGCCCCTGTGTGCGCATGTTGTTGTTTTATAAATAATTAATTATAGAAAGAAGTTTCCCCACGATAATTTTGTTTTAATTCTACAACTCTAGTCTTGTGCATAAACAAGTATTAGAGTAGTATGGGAAAGAGTTAATTTTAGTAGCCAGCAATTTTAAAATTGTTGGGCATTATGATCGCAATGCTCATGAAGAACTTCTTCTGTCAAACTATATATTGGTGTTTGGTGGATAATGGGATGCCAATGGCATAAGACGGAGTTGTTCTAACATAATTAGCACAGGGAAAGAACATTGAAGAGTATAAGCTGAAGGACTTGCAAGCAAAAGAAATATTTATTTCAAGCCTTTGATTGTTCGATTCTTAGAGACAATTCTCAACAAGGACATGACAAAGGACATATGAGACTCTTTGAAACATAAATATCAGGTACAATATATGTCAATGCTAATCTTCAATCTCTCCGAAAATAGTGTGAAAGAAAGTATCATTTTGGAGGTTAATCTAGAGGAAGAGGCCAAGGCTGTGGAGTGCTAATGTCGTCAAAAGCTCAGTAATTTTCAATTGGAATTTCCAAAGTAAGGAGAAAGAGGCCAACTATGCCATAACACTAGAAAAAGAAAATTGTTAATGGCTTATGTTTAAATGAACAAGGTTGATAAAGAAGATAAACAGTTTCTCGATTTGGGTAGTAGCTATCCCAGTTCCGGAAAAAAGGGAATATTTTTAAAGACTAATGAAAACCTCAGAGATTAAATAATGTTGGGCAATAACGCATCATGATTGTAATAGGGAACAGTATAAGGTTTCAAGTAAATGGAATGGTATAAACATCTTTGGAGTATTTTATATACCAAAGATGATGAATAACTTGTTGAATATTGAGCAATTGAAAGAAAAGGGGCTTAGAATTCTATCTTAATTTCGCAAGTGCATACACTCTAATATTTATACTCTTTCCCCTCTTGTTTTTCTAGAACAAATTAAAGTACATTATTTAATTATTTTACTTATTTAAAAACATAAGTTTTTGGATATAAAAACTGGAGAATATATAATAAATGTGTCATTTAAATTCTGTGGTAGCATCATTTATACACTGTTATTAGAAGAAAATTAAGTTAAATAATCACCTATCTGATAAACTCCTTAAGAAATATTTACTTGTGCCATTGTTTTCTATAACAAATATCATGACAGACTTTAAGTGAATTGAGTGACCATCATTTGATATATTTATACATATTATTTTTTCTACACAGATTATTTCTATTGTGGTTTTACATATTAGAATAACGTTTGTGATCCACTGGGACCCAATTATGTTCACCCTTTGAGGAGAGAAAAGTTTCTTTATAATCATGTTCATTAGCTCCCATTCAGCTAAACTTTAGCAAAGGCAAGACTTCTGTGCAATAAGCAATGACTAATGTATCATTATTATATAAATGCTCCCCAATAGTAGTGTCCGAGTCTTCCTTCTACTTGGGACAAAGTACATCATTTACTCGTTTTGCTTATTTAAAAAGAAAAAAGATCAAATCCTTGCTGCAGAATTTCAACATTACTTTACATTGGGCTCAAGGTTCCTTTCCTCTCTTTGACCAAGGAATGGTCCATTATGAAAAATGGCCACAATTCAAAATGAGCAGAGCACAAATTTGTTTAAAACTTAGTGGGGAATCCAATTTATCTTAGGTGACTCTGGTCCCTCATGATAGTCCCTTTGATTGAGTAGCTAGTTGATGATTTGGTTGGAGGATTCTCTTTTTCTTCACTCAGTTTCTATTATATGATTGGTTGTATTAGCTAATAAAGTTCTTTTATTCACTCCTTACAAGAAGCTTGTATTGCAACGGTTTGTGAGAATGCATTCCAATGTGGTATCAGTAAACATCCTTCTTTGTCCCGTGTCATGAAGGTTGAAATGAAAATAATTTCCATTACATGACAACGAAGAGGAAAGAAACACTGAAACCAAATTTTCTTTTCATTGATTTAAGGAGAAAACGAATCCTCGACATGATTAGCCTTTATATGAAGAAGTCACGGTAGATCATCAAGTGATCAAGCATGTTGTAGTAAAAATGCAGATGAGTAGAGATTCATTGTAAGGCATTAAACATTCTCCACTAGATGTTACCAATCCGGCTAGATTTTGAAATAAAGTCATCATCAGAACTTAGAATTCTTTGACACCGAAATTTGGATCCTTCAGTAGAATGCACAACTTGAAGCAAAGTTGGGAACTTATTGTACAAATTACTATGGCATACAGTTAGCAGCAGTTATCAAACTTCAGCAATTCACTTGTTTGCAAACTGAGACACAGTAAAACGATTTTCATGAAAAGCTAAAATGCAACAATGCTTCACTCTACAAGAATGCTGAGATCTTACTACAATTTATCTACTATGTCCCGTATAAATTATTGTATGGCACGAGAATATTACATGTTTATGATCTTGGTTAATCAAAAAATAACATCTGATCATATATACTATCACGTATTTATGATGTCAATTAATCAAACAATGACGCCTAACTAATATTTTAAATTAAGAAAAAGAGTTCATAAATTTTATACAATAATTTTTCATGCACTACAATTTTTTCATAGTAAAAAAAAAGTACTTTCTTTTCTGTGACACATGGCTGTTGCAATGACAATAATGTCATTTCTGCATTTCATTCAACAAAAAATAAGAAGAAAAACAATCCATATTTCATATGTATATGTGCCTTCAAAATTCTGTCTCATTACTCTACAACTTGCCACACCTTGTACCTCATTTCGATGCCATTTTAGAAAAAAAAAAGAACCAAAAATCTACATAATTCGATCTGACATTGACGGTAACCTCCTGAAGAAGTTCAACGCCGGCGACGGCAACCGGTCCCGGAAAATAGGGTGGCGGAGATAGTAGAACCCCGAAGCCATAGCCACCATTTTCGAAGGCACCAGATACAATATCAAAGCCACCACCAAACACAAAAACACAAATATTCCCGTGGCACGTGGATCCCGCCACGTCACCAACGCCTGCACGCGCTCCCCTTGCGTAGCAAAATCACCTAGAACCGTCTGCACGCGCGCCCCGAGCGTGCGCAACTTATCATACCTCGCACGCACCACCTCACTCGCTCTCGCACTCGGCACTGCATCAAACTCTTCATCCAACTCCTCCCTGTCCACCACTTCAGCAAGCGAAATCTTCGGATCGAAATGCGGAAGCGGGTCACGCGCACGGAACCTATAGTTCCACGCGCCAATAACAAAAACATAAAAAAGAAAAGTGGGAATAATCAAATCAGGAAACCACACAAGCATAACCAACAGCGCGTGCACAAGAATCGTGGCCGTTGGATTCTTCCATCCACGTGTATCCTCTATCCACCGTAGGATGTCGATCACTCCCGCGACCACGTTGATGATCCTGTACCAGTTAGCACGCACTTTTCTTATACTAAAGTTGTGAGAATCAGCGTCCAGCATGTAAAACACCACCTCCTTCCTTAGCGGCGGTTCCGATCTCGACAAGTGTGCCGCCACCGTTCTCACAGCCGTGTTCCTCAGCACTTCTTGCTGCACAACGCCTAACGGTTTTATGTGGTGCATCAACGGTAGCATTGGCTGCGAGTACACGTGGAGGAAATCTAACCGTTGAGTGGTGCGAAGGAACCTTATTGCTATCTCTATTTCCCCCATTTTTTTTAATCCCGCGTGAGTTAGCACAAGCAGAGGATACGTATTTCTGTACACTTTACCCGTTTGGAGCGTAGAAATACGGACGCGTACTTTTCCTATACGGAAATCAGGTCTTGTGGATTCGTTAGGGTTATTTTCTCTGTCTAACTCGAACATTGCCCAACTATCAAACACTCCAATGCTTAATACGGTGCAAGGATCATACACCTTCCACGTGTACTGTTCGTTCCACTTGGGCTCCAAGTTATCCGATACGGTTCGCGTACGAACCCATTTGTTACCGTATTTGGCTACGCAGTACGCGTCGGTAGAGCTTTTACCGTTTACCGTCTTCATCGGGATTAAATTCTTGCAACCAATGATGCCGAGCTCGACCGTGCCAACCGGTGTCTTCCAAAGTTGCCTTGCCGTGGGCCGGTAATCGCTGCACACGTGCGCTGCCTCGTCCATCACGTGATACCCACCGTCAAAGCACAAGCGAAGGTGCACTCTGCCTTTGTAGTTGTTCTCCTCATTGGGGTTGTCGAGGGTGAACCAACGCGACGCGACGTTCCGGTCATCCACCCTTCTCTCAATTGCGACCAGAGGTATTCTGAGCATACCCATTGTCATCGGGGCTTTGTGTTGCCGGTTTTCCAGGGTGAACACGAGGTGGTCGCTGACAGGCTCTGCTACCACGAAGAGAAAATCTTCGTTCCACGAAACGGTGCCGTTTCGAGTGACGGCCGTTTTAGACTTCAGCACCTGGAATCCAACTTGGGCTTTAACTTGAAAACAAGCTTCCTTGGACGACAACGGAATAACGTCTTGAGCTTCGAGAACAGTGGCCCGGAGGTACCACAGTTTCGGTGACTGGTAAACTTTGGCTTTTGAGTTCACATGACCGTACGTGTCACTTTTCCACGCGTCAGCAAACGATTCGTCAGCTTGCGTTCCGATCCACGTGGCAATCATGAGGTCACCGTGGAGGGCCCCACCACCTTCCAATCTGTACCACTGTGGGGCCAGAGGACTATCCGGTGGGTCCCTCACGGGAATCTCGTTCACGTCAAAACACACTCCACCAAGCAAATTACGACCGTCTACGTCAGCCACGTGGTCCCGCGGGTCCCACACGGAAACCTCAAGAATGGAGGAGGAATCCGGTGCGTCGCGGGCGAAAGCGAAGGTCTGGTTCCACTCGAACAACGTGGTCTTGCGCGCCGGCCTCGACGTGACGTGGTGGCCCGAAACCGCTATCTTCGCAACAGGGTTACCGTTAGTTGGCAAGTACCGCGCTTTCACCACGTGAACGAAGAGGTAGTGCATCTTCTCCACCAGATCAAACGAGGACCGTTCGATCAACACGCTATCACTCGACGCCTCTGAAGTAAAACTGGCCGTCGATGCAGACCTTCTGATTGGTTGAGGACCGTTGATACCACTGAACCTTATCTCCGAATTTGACCTAGACACAGAAGCCGCCTTAACGTTTAAATTCACGTCAGGCTCAACCGGTGCACGCGGTAACTGTTCTACCTGATCCGCACTTTCTAACGGTTTAGCAGGTTCGGGCTCGGGCTCAGGCTCGGGTGGCTTATCAGCCTCGGTTAGTGCCGGAGGTTCCTCTATTTCTTTTTCCGGTGGCTCTTCTTTACCTTTATCACCTTCCGGTGGCTCTTCTTTAGGTTTGTCACCTTCCGGTGGTGGTTCAGACGGTGCCTCCACTGTTGGTTCTTCTACTTTTTCATTCTCGGCCGGAGGCGCCGGTTGTTGTTCCGGCGGTGGCGGTGCTTGTGGTTCCGGTGGAACTGGCGGCGGAACCTTTTCATCAACGTAGTAGATTTTCAAACCGATCTCACCTTGGATCATGCTGAGAATGTGCTTCTTCTCCAACACGTAATATATCAAAGCCTCTTCGCCTTTCTTCACGAAATGTGTGGAACTGAGTCGGATCCGTCCCAGCGAGTTGTTTCGCCGGGTCGACCCATGACTCTTGTCGTGGTAAACGTCAAGTTCGAGCATGTCGCCGAAAATGTCAGAGGAGGCGCCCACGTTAAACGACAGCGTCTCATTCCAGACAGGGTTCAGGTCGCGAACTGCGGTTCGAGTCTTCTTCCGTTGACCGTAGAAGTCAACGACGACGTAGGGGCTGGAGGTTCCGTGGCCGTCCTTGGGGACGAGGTTGTGAGCGTCGACGACCTCAACGATGAGTTTACGAACGGTGCCCATTCTTTCAACTAGCGATGAGGGTCTCGAAACGATGCGTTTTAGTTTTTGTATTATATTATCTCATGTCCTTTGTGATTCAAACGGTTTGTTACTCCTGGATTAGGCTTTGACAGGTTGAGGGAGAAAGAAGGATGCATTCATCTTAGGGAAGCCACTTATATAAGAATATAAGCCTAACGTACAAAAGGAGGTTCTTATTTGTTATCAAACTATTCATGCACTCACATTAAATTTTCCAAGCTATGTATTATTTTAATTCTTAATTTTACAAATAAAATCATTTTAAGTTTAAATTTTACAAAATGGTATTAATTTTAATTATTTTAAATATATAAATAACAACGTGTATATATATGATGCATTTGTCTATCAAGTTTACCGCGCTATTATTAACTGATAACCAAAACTATTTGGAAAAAAAAAATTATATATAATTGGAAAGCATAGTTCATCTTTAGTTTTTTTTTTAGTGTTGTTAAATTTCATTTTAATATAATGGGTGAAAATAAAATATAGTAAATGACATATTGGTTGTATTGTTGGAATATACACGAAAGGCTGGAGTGGAAGCCAGAGGATGGGTAGGGGTAAGAAACTGGCAATAAAGAGGGTGCTTATCTTGATCTGCAAGCACCTTTAGACGTTTGAAGCTTTTGGGGTCTTTTTGTCTGTCACTCAATTTTATTATTGTTTTCTTTGCATTTCAAGTTAGAGATATAATAATAGACATGGCTTTGCTTTCTCTTTTCTATGCGTTTTTTCTTAGTAGGGAAGATTCTTTGTCAAACATAGCCTTTGCTTTTTGGCCGTCCATTGAATTAAAGGGTTCTAATAAAATGACTATGGAATGTGGCCAACAATTTTCTTCACAGAGGAATGGCTTTTGTGTCACCGACCCTAATGTTCTCGTCACTGAATACAGCTTTTGTGTAATTATTGGTAATTTTGACGAGGACATGACACTTGCTCCACCCTTTCACACATTCCTAGGGAGTTCCGATCCTTAATTCTTGATCCCATTAGTAGCAGCATTTGTGGTTCTGTTGTGTTTTCTATTTGCCATGGGTTGTAAAGGACACGCTTTCTACGTTAAGTTATATATAATTTTCGTAGTTTATTAGCACAATTTTTCTCGTTCATCATTGCTTGCTCTCCAACAACCGTGTAATCAGTTTGCTGTCAATTTTATTTTTAGAAAATCAATCCCAAAGTTAGATGAAAAGTGAAAAGCTAAGAGAAACATATATAGGTTTTGTCAAACTTGAACTCAATTTAGCAATAGATTTATTTGATAGACTTGCTTGAAAAAGAATCACGGAGGAAGAAAAACAAGAACTGTTGTGGGTTGAATAGTTAAACATCTAACCTAATTAACACCAGAGGACTTCAATCATGCTAGTTACTGAGAAGATGTCTGGGTAAGGTACTAACTTCCCCTTTATATGCAAAAGGATCAAGTTAATAATTGAACAGATTATATAAAACGAAATATAAATTACTGAGAAGAGATTATATAACTTAGATCTCTAACATAAAAAATAATTTAAATATCTAAAATCATATATAGGCTCTTTGTTTAAGATGTGAAACAAAAAAAAAATATATATATATATAAAGAAAAAAATTATTTATAGAAAATTCTTATTCGTAATGAAGATAAAAATTAGTAATTTAGCTTACACTTTATTTTTAAAAGTTAAAAAGAAAGAAAAAAGTTTAAAAGGTAAAAGAAAAGAGAAAAAAAAAAGAATTAACAAAAATAAAAAAATTAATTTAAAAGAACTTGAAAATGTGAATTTATAATAGTTTTAAAGAATTTATAATACTACAAGAAAAGTGCTTAATACAGACGAATTTTACAGATGGATTGAAATCCATCTGTAATACAGATGAATTTACAGACGGATTTGTGGATTAAATTTTTTTTTTTTCTGAAAAATTCGTCTGTATTACAGATGGATTTTAATCCGTCTGTAAAATCTGTCTGTAATTTGTCCACCTTTTGGTGCGAAACATTATAGACAGGAATTATAGATGGATTTTTTCGTCTGTAATTTGACAATAGGAGGGAATGTTATAGCGGAAAATTACAGATGGATTTTTTCATCTATAAATATGGCCGTTTTAACCGACCTTTCAAGTGGCAAATTACAGACGGAAACAGACGGAATTTTTTTGTCTGTAAGTGGAACTGACGAATTTACAGACGGAAAAATCCATCTGTAAGGTACCACCTGAAACGCACTGCTTCATTAAACTCATTCCGTCTATAATGACTGAAACCCATAAAACCGCGTCTCCGCTTCTCCTTCCTCATTTCTCAGAATTCTTTCTCTCTCTCGCTCTCCCCTCTCTCTCTCTCTAGGAGCTCAGTGTTTTGACCTTTGCGAGTGATTGGAGCAACCATTTGAAAGTTTTTTTGCATCATTGTATTCCTAGTACGATACTCTAACTTTTAATCGGTTTAGTTTTTTAATTTTTTATGTTTTTTAGAGACTTAAAATTTCTAAGATATAGTTGTAGGATTGGAGATTGTATGACTGGGGGAAGGGCGTAGAGGTCCTTCTCCGAACCTGATTATTGTGTGTTGTGGGATTGTTTGTGTTTGTGAAGTTTGTAGAATATGCATGTTGTGGAGTTACAAGGGGATGTGCTCTAGAACGGTTTAGGATTGTGATGTGTTTGTATTTGATGTATCGATTAATATATTGTTATATAATTTATTAGTTGATTTTAGGTGAAATTTTGATTTTTGTAAAAAATGGTAAACAAATGTAAGGAAATTGACATGTATTAGGGGAGATTTTGCCAAAATTTATATTAAAAATTTCTGTAATGTATTTTAGAAGGTTGATACCACATTGTATATTTGTATTAGGTTTATATAGTTCTTGAGGAAGATGTTTCTCAGAAATCGTCAGTGGATGTATGATAGGTTGCACCCAAGTCGGGGGAAAATAAAACCTGAATTCTTTGAGGGTGTAGAGGAATTTATACGCGTCTGTTGTAATTCGCAGCAATTCATCACCAGGTCGTTAGGTGTCCATGTTCTAAGTGTAAGTGTAGAAAGTTTTTGGATATTGATTCAATTAGATATGATTTGTATAAGTTTGGATTTAAACATGATTATTGGATATGGACTGAGTATGGGGAAGTAGTTAATTTGAAAAATCAAGTAGGTAATTCAAATATATTGCAATCAGGTGAGGATGTAGGTAATGTAAGTTGGGAAGAAAGCAATAGTCGTTATCAAGAAATGGTTTATGATGTTGTTGGTCATGAATTTGGAATTTTTCATGATTTTGAAGCTGAACAAGAACCTAATAGAGAGGCTGCAAAGTTTTATAATATTTTAGAAGTAGCAAACAAGCCTTTATGGGATGGGTGTGTGCATTCAGAGTTATCTTTAGCAGTAAGAATGTTAAGCATTAGTTCATTTGATCAATGGGCTACATTAATTAGTGAGCTTAGTTCCCAACCTGACTCCATCCCAAAGGACTTTTAACAAGCAAAAAAATTAGTTTCCAAACTTGGATTAAAAGAAGTCAAAATTGATTGTTGTTTGAAAGGCTGCATGCTGTATTACAAAGATGATGTTGTTTTGACTAATTGCAAATTTTGTGTAGAGCCTAGGTTTAAACCAAGAAGAGGTGGTAGAAGTGGTAAACAAAAAGATGTACTGCAAACTAGAATGCATTATTTTTCTTTGATTCCTAGGCTAAAAAGGTTGTATGCGTCTATGAGTTCAGCTCCTTACATGACGTGGAATGCTGAAAATAAAAGGAGTGATGGGATAATGACTCATCCATCTCATAGTCAGGCTTGGCAACATTTTGATGAAGTGTATCCTGAGTTTGCATCTGATCCTAGAAATGTAAGGTTAGGGTTATGTGCTGATGGGTTTGCTCCAAACAATCAATTTAATAAACCATATTCTTGTTGGCCTATTGTGGTTACACCTTTTAATCTTCCTCCTGAAATGAGCATGAAAAATCCATATTTATTCTTGACTGAAATAATTCTGGGTCCAGAAAAGCCAAAGGCTAAAATTGATGTATACCTTCAACCTTTGATTGATGAGTTGAAAGAGTTATGGTGTGAGGGTGTAGTAACTTATGACGTATCAAGGAAGCAAAATTTTATCATGAATGTAGCACTGATGTGGACGATAAATGATTTTTCTGCTTATGGAATGTTGTCTGGATGGATGACTCAAGGGAAATTAGCATGCCCAATTTGTATGGAGGATACAAAGGCATTTACTTTAAAACATGGAGGAAAAAATTCATGGTTTGATTGCCATAGGAGATTTTTAGATATGGAACATCCTTATAGGCGTCAAGCCTACAAATTTAGGAAAGCAACTGTTGAGAATGAGGACCTTCCTGCCCGTTTAAATGGTCATCAAGTATGGGATAGAGTTACACACTTGCCAAAAATAACAGAAGTAGGAAAATTCATTAGGTTTCCTGGTTATGGGATGACACATAATTGAACCAAACAAAGTATATTCTGGGAGCTCCCATATTGGAAGGATAACTTAGTTTGTCATTGTTTAGATGTGATGCATGTGGAAAAAAATGTATTTGACAATATCATGAATATTGTAATGGACACTGATCAAACTAAAGATAATGTAAAGGTAAGGCAAGATTTAGAAGAATATTATAGGCATCCTGAATTGAGGTTAGAACAACTTGCAGATTGTCGATGGTCAAAGCCAAAGGCAAGTTACACTTTGACTTTACCACAAAGACAAGATGTGTGTAAGTGGGTGAAGGACTTAAAAATGCCTAACAGTTACGCTTCAAACCTCGGTCGTTGTGTAAATGTTGAACAAGAAAGATTTTTTGGGATGAAAAGTCATGATTTCCATATATTCATGGAGTGTCTTCTACCTGCTGCATTTAGGGAACTACCAGACCATGTTTGGAAGCCATTGACTGAGTTAAGTGAGTACTTTAGGGACCTGTGTTCACCTACGCTAAGGGTTGAAGATCTATTAGTTATGGAGAAAAATATTCCTGTGATTTTGTGCAAATTAGAGAGAATACTTCCCCCTGGTTTCTTTGACTCCATGGAGCACTTGCCTATACACTTACCGTATA